AAATCCAGTTTTATAACACCTTCAGAATGCTGTAGCGGCTACCTCCGCTCTGTAGTGCCTCCGGCATGATTACGGCGGCGCGTACCGACGCAAACGCATTTCAATGCGTAGTGGCGGTAACAGAACGGCCTTCTGAACACCATATCGGAGGATGTAGCGTGTCCGATATTGTGCCATTGGACCAAAATTCATGTCACCAAGAAGGGCTGGTGACATGAATTCTAATTACGCATACCTACAGTTAATTCCTATTATTTTTATTTTTAATTATTTCTATTTTTATTATTTTATATCTTTTTAAGTGTAATTTACTAACATAGTAAATTAATAATAACATAAGTTTTCAATTGTTACTAACAAAGTTGATCGAAGATCTTACATAAACATTATTATTATTACTATTACTGCTACTGCTACTGTTACTGTTACTATTATTATTATTATTATACTCCGTTCAATCAATTATTTAACTTTTGACAGCTCGAATTTTAACTCATTAGTGGCGTCCTAACGTTTCCGATTCAAAATTTTTATAACAATCGATTTTATTTATGAAGAAGTTGAAATCATTAATGTAAGAGGGTTTAAGAAAGAAGATATTGTCTGTTTGGGATCGTAATGTTGCGTTCGACAATTGTGTACTCATAAATTAATAATTAATGTTAATGAGGATTCAAGTGATGATTCCTTTTCATATGGAGAAGAATCCGATGATTCATTATATATAAAGTAATCGTCGCACAATAAAAAATTATTTTAATTATGTATAATTTATTTCATTTAATTATTATTTATTTTGAATAATCTTCGTTACATAATCTGTAGGCTCGATAAATATCGAAGCTAAAGGTTACGTCGCTTCACTAAAATTAAAAAATAAAAGAGTCCAAGAAGTATTGCATTTTTGTCTATGGTTGTATGTCAATAATTACGGAACTTCGGAGGCATGCACATGTCAAAAGCTAAATAAGTTGTTGGACGGACTATATTATTAATATCAAGTAGAGAACTTTAGGGTTCAAAAATAAATTGTTAATCTTAATTCGGACTTGGGAGACATTTATGTATTAAATCTTAGAATAATAACGCATAGAATGATAGTTTCATAAAAAAACGAACTGTCACAAGTGAGGCAAAAATCAAATTCATGTAGGCGTAAGCAACTTGTATTTACGCTCGTCGGCACGCACACAAATATACAAATAATGATGGAATAACATTTCCCTCAAAAGTGGGGAAATTGTATCTTGCTTAACTCATCGTTAAGTTAGAGATGCCTACAGATTTGCTCGATTTTGTCGATCGTTACTGTCGATCAGGTGCCTACAGACATGCTCGATTTTGTCGATCATTACTGTTGATCGACAACGTCAAGTGACAAGAATTTTCAAAAATTTATTTTTGGTAATCCTTATGGAAATGGCATTTATATCTGAATACACGAAGGCGGACAGGACTTTTCTCATTTCTAAATTCAAGATGGCGGACACGTCTTTTCGAATAAATGCAATATGGGAATCGGTTTCGAGATATTTGAGGTGCTCATCTCGAATATGGCATTTATTTCTAAATCCAAGATGGCGGACACGACTTTTGAAATAAATGCAATATGGGTATCATTTTCGAGGTATTTGGGGGTACTCATTACGAACATGGCACTAATTTCTAAATCCAAGATGGCGGGCACGATTTTTCGAATAATGGCAATTTGGGTGTCGTTTTCAAGGTATTAGGGGCTGCTCATTCCGAATGCAGCACATATTTCTAAATCCAAGATGGCAAAGAATTAGAAGAAGAAGAATTAGAAGTCTTGTTCCTCATCTTGTATTCAGATATACATGCCATTTCCTTATGGTTTACCAAAAATACATTTTTGAAAATTGTTGTCAACCATCTTGGATTTAGAAATTAATGCTACATTCGTAATAAGCACTCTAAAACTCCTCGAAAACGTCTATAATTTTATATGAACAAAAACCTACAAGCGAGTTTAAGTGCGACTATCGAATTTGAATATATAAATAGCCTGATATTATCTGTGGGTATGTTTACATGAAAAGTACACGATAACAATTAAGAACCTGAACCTGAAAGTTATTTATACACGATTTTGGAGAATTGACGATGACTTTTTAGTCAGTGTTAGTTTCCTGAAATAATTTTAGTTAAGAACTTTTGAGTTCAAGACAAGACAAGAGAGTGCAAGACAATTTTTTTAAATGAGTGTATGATGAACAAGAATAATGATTTTTCACATGAAACTAATGAAGGCAAATACTAAATATATTTCGTAAAAATAGCTAACGTAAATTCCCTACAATGTTGTTGCGGCGGTGTACATTTGTAGAAATTTTGCAACCGTCGCGATATTGCCTATTCTCAAAAAATTACGTAATATACTTATTTTGAAACAGAATAGCAAAATGGGGAGAAAAAACCCGTTACTTTGCAACATTTTCGTATCTTGTTGCAACGAAATTAATTTTCTGTTTTAGTGAATATTTATATAAAAATACAAGTTGAAACGCATTACTTCCTTATGGAATGTGATGGTAGTATCTATTTTATATTTGTCTGATCTATTTTTAAACCCAATTACCGCACATTTCGTCATTTTTATTCCGGCCAGAAACCGGACCCGGGCCGGCAGTGTATATTGCGATGCAATATTATGGTACCATCAAGCTGGTCTGATTATGGAGACAATGCAGTCAATTGAACAAACGAGAAAACATTCTCTTAAGTTCGGTTCAACTGAACTAGTGGGAATAGAGGGCCGGCAGACCAGCATGGTAACTGGTCCAGGTCACGGAGACAGTAAATTAATTATAAAAAGAGGCAATTTTGTATTTGCTTTGAGTATATACTTTAAAAGAACACCACACCACCAGGAGAAGTCGTGTCGAATTAAACGTTGTTAAGAGTACGGGAATTAAATAGCGAACGTCCTAAAAATAACATCTAATACCCACGCGAACGTTTTTTAGTTTCAGCTTAATACACAATACCGGACCACAACCTCGTTATCTTAGTAATTCAACATTGGGTAGGGAAGATTCGTTATCTTCCCTACCCAATGTTGAATTACTTCAAGGCAAAACAAAATCGTTTTTTATGATTCTGAAGTCGAATTTAAAGGGTAACTGGTACAATTTGAATTAATATTCTAGATGTATATATTTATACATATTTTCCCTTTCAACTAAGTCCAAACAAATACAGGTCTGTCTGACAGCCAGACCTTCATTTAAGGCACTAATCCCAGTCTAAATACCTACCCAGATTAATGGAAATAGATAGAAACAAATGACAGACGTCTTTATGTACTTAACTCATTTTATTGCAACTATACTAATGGAAGACTCACGCTATACCGTGTGGGGCTCGAGTCGAGTGAATCAATATCACAAACATTTTCAGCTCAGCTAACACTCGTTTGTTCTTATGAAATTCATATACGATATTCACTGGCCATGCTAGTATTGTTGCCTTGGATGAACAGGGTATCAACTCAAAAATTTGAACTTTTTACTTTAAAGTGCAGTCCTATTTAAAAAAACGATTTTTTATAATGAACAAGATCTTATAACGATCGGACGTGAACTGGAGCGGGAGGTAAGGTAGTATCTCTGAACTTCTGCACGTTTTGCCACCAAATATTGAGCAACACAGTCGTATTAAGTATTACACACGAAGCTGTAGTCAAAACGTCGTCGTTCGTTGAACAGGGTATTAAAACTAAAACTCAGCATCTGTTCATTATAAGGTAGAGAATTTTAAAAATAATTTCTAAAAGGAAGACGATTATTTCAAGGTAATTGGGATATTTTTTTCATTGAATTGTTATGGTAATCTATAGTACTGAGTATTTTTTTGACATACTACTATGTTCCTCAAAGTTTTATAGAATTGAATATTATTTCTTCTTTCATTGAAAAGTATTAAGCATGAATACTTTAGTTAAAACTCTGAATCACAAATATTGTATGTTCAAAAAGGTAATATCATAGGATTTTGTCAAAACTACGGAAGTGAATAAGTAGTAGAAGTATTCGAAAATACTGTCAAATGTGTAGGCTTTAATTATATATAGGTAAGAAGAGCCAAATAATAATAGCTGCTGAAATAATACTAGAAGAAACTTTAAAATTGCTCTCCTGAACAATCTGTGTTTTTGAGATAATACCCTGTTCATCTGGACCAACGACACTTTGCCGCCTGTTTGCGAAATTCAAAGATCACCACCATTTTGCTTTATGCGTCATTTTCTACCGATAAGTGATAAGAATACATTATATAGAGGGTAATACAGTTTGAGACTTAACAGTAGGGCTTTGTTTTTAATCAATTCGTTTGTTTAGGTAAACATTTACCTACCAAATAGTCTTTTCAATTAATGGACCTTTATCATTCTTTACAAGTAGTATTAAATATAGTAAATAACACTTATGGTATTACTATCCTTCTGCATACCTAAGATACGGCGGGCACATACTACTGTCAGCATATTAATAAAAATCAAGCGAAGTTGTAGCCATAGAAACTTATGCACGCGTGAAACTTGTCGGAGGTTCGTAGTTTTAATCATGTTCAATAAGCGCAACACACTGATTTTATTATTATTAAAGTGTCGCGTATATCCTCGAAAATTACATGAGACATATCGACTTTAATGTAATTTTCATGTTTCTTTTCTCTGCCTAATTTCGGTGGCAAGGTTTATATATCTTTTATATATTCGAGTAAATTAACGTGTAATGCTAAATAATATTGCAGGTTATTATACTCGAATATTAAATAATACTTCGAGATAACATTGTAGAATATCCAAATAATAAAAATTACCACCGAAATTAAGTGGAGAAAACAATACTGAAAATTACTCAATGGCATTATAATTGTGTCTTGTTTCGAATGTTATAATAATGTTATCATTTACTTCTAAAGTATAATACATCATAACATGATTGATAATTTCATATATTTGCCTCTCTCTACAGGTAAAAAAGATGGCGCCAGCGCAGAAGCATGTGGAAGTCTGTGAAGAACCTATCCATACACAAATGAAATTGAGATTTATAACTCAAGAAAACAAGGTAAAAAATGGTGTGCATTGCAAGAACAATAATACAGTGGTGGAAAATGATGACAGTGAAATAAATACAGATCCGGACTTTGATATAATGAAATATGAAGCCATGGACTTTAAAGCTAAAATCAGATGGCCGGACACTATTGTACAAATATCCTTACATACATTGACACTCTATGGTGTGTACCTGATTATAACCAATCAAGTCAAAGTTTACACTGTATTATTTGGTAAGTAGTTAGTTTTATTCCATTTCACTATTACATTTGAAATTTTGGGGTTTGATCTATATGACAATTACGAAATTCTTTGAAAGTCACTCCATGTTGATTTATTATAACGTCATTGCGTATATATGAATACACGTGGAAGACGCCAAAGGCTTGTTCTTTTAAAAATGTTATATACCGTGACAGTGTTGAATTACTTTTTTTTTGGCTTGTTCTTTTAAAAATCTTCAAGGTCTGTTACTGTTAAATGCGACCAAACTAAAACATAATGTCAAGTATGAGTATCAAGCACGTATGAAGCTTCATTTGCCTGATGGGTCTTTTAATTTGACCGAGTATTACTTATTTGACAGTAATTGTTTCGGGCGGATGTCGGACCGAGAACGAGAGTACAGGGGACCTACTATGAGCTCTTAGAACAATCCTATTTAAGCCTGTAAGTTGGATTTGCGTGTCAAATTCGTACTATGACCTCACAAAGACAATTCACTGTCCATGCAGTTTACGTTCCCCATTCGAGATCCGTTCACCTTTTCTTTCCTAGCAAACTCGTATCATGACGTGCCATTTGCCATGCAAATCTGTAAAAATAAGCAATTAAAAAAAAGTTACTCCGTGACTACCTTTATTTATATTTATATCATTGACTTACAAATAAATGGACGACGGGTCTAATACAAAAATCACGAAAAAAATGTCCCAAGTCAACCTATTCGAAATTTAAATTGTAATGTCATCGCAGTATCGCGCTGTCAGCCGAACAAATGAAGACTAAAGCGGAGTTTGGCGCTCTGTATACGATTTTAGCGCCTTACAAGTGCGGACACTTTTTAGCGCGGACCCGACGTCCATATAATTGTAAGTCAATGATTTATATTTATATTTTTAAGAAATTTCGTTTAAGTTTTATTATATTTTCTGTTTCATAATTATATGTTATCTTTTTAGGCTATATAGCTAATTGTTAATAAATAAATACTATTAACTATTATTGAATAACTATAATTTTATATATATTTTTGAAAATTTAAGTTTGAGTTTCTAATCTTTAAAGTATTATTGATAAATTATTGGCATGAATGTTATTGCAATTTTTAAATGGAATTTTAATCATTTTAATAATTTTATTGACCGAAAATCATAAAATAACTTTTGTAAATAGTGGCAAATTTGACTATAATGTAATCAATAATAATATACGAATACAAGATAGGTTCCAATTATGTTATGAAATTACAAACTCACCTTATTAATTTCAATGATAATGACTAAACATGACATGTAATTTTGTCGTATTACAAATTGTAAAGTACGATTGAAAAGTTGCCGATATTACAAAACAACGTAATAAGCATAATTAATAATTAAAAATATAATTATTCTCATTTTGAACACAATCGGTTAATAGTGCTTAAACGCTCCCAGGATAATAACATCTGTCTATTTCTGTCATATGATTTAGTATGTACTTTCATCTCGCTCTTGTTACATGTCAGCTAGCCAGCCAGAGACAATAATTAACGTTTAAATTTAATAAACGTGTCAAACAATTTTTAATAGAATTACAAAGATTCCCTTTTTGTTACTCTAGTGCTCTAACTTTAAATTCCAGAAATTGTTTACCATATTTTACCTGTTGCAAGGCCTACCTCGGAATTCTATCCGAACAGAACTACTATCAATGTATACGGAATACTATAAAAAATAACACATCACAGCAAAATTCACAACAGTATACAGTTAAGCAGGTTTTGATGCGAATGCGTTAAAATGTTGGTCGAAGTCGAAACGTACACTCGATGTTTCGTAACCAGTGTCAGCTGAGTAAATATGGAAAAACGTTATCGGAAATCGATAATATTGCATATTTGCTATTGACAATTTAGCAGTCGGCCCCTGTATAAATACTTGTCGGAACCATCATGATTTAGATCTTCAGGCATCGTTTGGGCAGATTTAGGGATCATGCAATGAGATTACATTGAATAGTAACGCCGTATATTTTAATCACTATGAAATCGAATAGCAATTTGTACTTTCTATTCATTTTAACGACCAAATTAGGCACTAAGCGAAACGTAGGGCTATTTCTAAGTAGCGTTTGTGCAGTTCGAGAGTCCTAACCACCACTGTGTCCTCTCTCATCTACTACCACTGTTCCCCACCCAGGCTCCGTCGAGGTCCACCGGCAAGAGCGCACGATACACTCTGTAACTTGCAGGTGGTGCCTCTGTCTTGCAGTTATTCGTCCGTGCTCATGACCGTTTCTGACATACTTAATTACGGCACAGGTCCACTCATCCGTGTTATCTTACACATCCATGAAATTTCTTTTGAAATTTTATTTTCTCAAACCACTAAATTGTCTTGTTATTTTATAAAGATGTTACGAATCCCATGCGCTCAGATATGAGGCGGGCGTCATAAATTCTCGGCTCCGATTGTATCGTCTACAAATTTCGTAACGTAACGAGAAGTAATGAGGTCGCCGGAGTTTATTGCCCCATACGTGTCCTTGGCTCACCACCAGAGTCGAAGCGAGGGCCAAGTTCGAATAGGCGACAACTTTCTAAAAATATTTGAAGTAAATCTCATTTGAACTCCGAATTTGTGTTGTGATATTATACATAATGACGTATCTAACATGTAAATATTATGACAGATTGTATTATTAACTTACACACAGAAAGTAGCACAAATAACGTATTACTTCGGACGTGTGTTTACTAAAATACTAATTATAACAATAATAATTACACATATTAATTACAATAATAATTATAACTTTATTAAACCATTTATTCACCACACAAAACATTACAAGTGACTTATTCAATAACATAAAAATTACAACATTTATAATTACTGTGTAGCAGGGGAGCAACCTCAGCACGATACATATCTGTGGCACACACTGTGTAGACGCATACCCAGCACTGATTTTCAGCTTGTCCCCGCAGTTGTGGACAAGCAGATATATAAAACACGCGCACAAAAACATGAACTAAAATTAAAACTAATGAAATTCACAACACACCAATTTATATCAGTAGTAATTTACATATAGAGCAACTTACTATACGTATATAGAGCAAATCAATATAATAATAAACTAATACTATTTTAATACTAGTTTGCACTAGAGGTATGCTTCCTTCTTTTTGTGACTTCAAAACCCTTAAGCCGCGAAATCAAACACGATTGGGACATTTTTCCTTCCTTTTTGGCATGTACAAAATCCAATTTTTTTCAAACAATTTTCATTAATTATTCTCTGATTTGTTGTGCAAATAGTACGCAATATGGCCTTGTTTTTGTCTAATTTGTTCTGAAAACATACATATTCTCATAATGTCAACAAATACCGTTACATTCGTAAAGTTATTCATTACCCCTAAGTAAAGGTGTTGTAAATATTCCGTGACTGTTTTATTATGACAATTCTCACGTTATCTGCATGATTATTTGTACAGTTAATATAAAACGTAAATTTGATTTCGTAAATGGTATAATAATTAAAATGTTTAATTTTCTATAATTTTTTTCAAACTTCCCCATAGTTATGTCCACATGACGAAGCACAAAATTTTAATACCATGAAATGAACCGAAATCCGCATCTGTCGAAGTTATTGTTCCATGAATATACGGCTTAACAACTAATTTACATTATTCATGTACCTACCTACTTTTCTATGTCGTGGTTTTCATTAGGAAAGTGCCTTTTAGAAGTACAGTATACGACCGCAATGAACTCCGCTTGTACTATAATGAGTTTTACTTATCTACTGGTAACTAGGACAGATTTTTGTGTAAGCTTCCATTAATATCCCCCAATGATGTTTCTTTCGAAGTGTGTTACGATTTCAAAACCTGCTTTCAATATAATAATAATGTATAGCGTCGCAATGTAAATCACAAAAACACTGTCTTCGTGTTGCGATTTTATCAAAGTACATTAAATTAAGAATCAAAATGTAACCAGAGACGTAACAAATTAATGTGAATTCATATAAGTCCTATGTCGCTGAACTAACGTGGAAAATACTATACTGGCAATTGTAGTACAAGCGACTTAATGTGCTTTTCCACCGGCGAGGCGAGACGAGACGAGGCGAGACAAGGATTGAAATTTGTATGGCAAAATTTCAATTCTCTACTAACGCGTCTTCGGTGGAAATGGTCTGGATTGACGAGGATGTGCACAGCGAGAATTGAAATATTTGTTGTTGAAATATTATACCATACTGCCGCCTAGATAGATTACTTATTAACCGCCGCATAGAGTACTTATTAACGCATCGTAATGATTATATCTCGTTCAAGCTCACGCGAGCTCGCGATGGCTAGTAATATCAATCGCAAGATTATGGGACGAAAAAGAAGGCTTCGTCTGATTCCTCTTCCATTAACATAATTAATAATATTAATTTACAGGATATGTTACTTCAGCCGCGTGTTTACTGCTAGATGAACTAAACAGCACTGAATCTTTACTATCCACAACCACGCCGCGGGCTCGCGAGGCTATTAATGGAAATTTTTGATGGAAATAGGCTGGCGAGATTTCGATTCTCGTCTCGCTTCAGCTCGTCTCGCCTGGACGGTGTAAAGCATCCTTACGTGTTAGGTGTTGGTGTTAGGATATCGTGATACTTGTGCAAATTCTCTGATGTCAGAACTATAAAGGCTTGCTTGTGAATTATGATTATGTAAGGCTTAGTGTGAAACCACCCATAATAAAGCGATTTTAAATAGGGTCGACTTGATTACCGCACAGCGACGCAAAGCCTTAAGTTTACACTATGATTTTTTCACGCAATCAGGTGCTCCTTATATTATAAATATATATAATAAAGGTATTTCTCTTGTTTTTCAGCAATTGCAACGATATACACATCCGGTTTCGGCATCACCGCGGGCGTGCACAGGCTTTGGTCACATCGCGCGTACAAAGCGCGTACGCCTCTAAGGATCCTCTTAGCCATATTGTTTACTATCACGGGACAGGTGAGTACATAAGTACTACTTTTATACAGAAATGTGGATACTTATCTAAATTCTAAAACGTACACCATCCATCTTGGTCTGGAGATTGTTAGTACTTTGAGAAAGACAACAATAATAACGACAGGGGATAACAATAATAATGATGGATGTAAAGTTATAGCAAAGTTTCTTCATTGATCTTCACATTTATAATAACGATCAATCACGACTTATCGTCGTACAAACATTTTTTCATCAATAAATTAAATTTACACCTACACAACCATGTAAATATTATTTGAATAAATGTATCACAAGCTGAGCATTGAACGTCGTACGCCTTTTCACAAACGGAACCTTTTACATAAATTAATCAGTTGTAAATAATTATCTGTCTGACTTTGCAGTCTTTTTGCTAATCAATCATTTTGACAATCTTTAAAGTGGATCAAAAAACACAAGCTTTCAAACGATGATATGAAAAAAGCTAAAAACCACTTACAGTTTTATAGAACCTTATTTCTACGTCCATACCAACCCTTTTCCCGTAAATTACTTGTCGTTGTTGTCATGAAAAATCCACCTGCTATGTATTTACCGTAGGCATTAAACTCAGCCATTAGAGACTGTTAAAAAATTCATAATGCCGCAAAACCTGTTGCTTGCAAGCGATGGCATGCTCATATTTGATACCACACAAAAATTATTGCACAAAACTACTGTCTAAATACTAAGTACGTAAACATCCAAGTTGCTGACCATACTTTCTTATTTAGTATATTTATTTTACAAACAACTAATTTTATTACTTCTTATAAGCTTCCGAATTTCGAGGCTAACCAAACACAATAATATATTACCTACTAACATTATATTTATTTTATTTTCTTTACTACCACCGACCATAATCTTTTATTAAATAAAAAATATGAACAAATATGTTACTTTTACGTTTTTATAACATCATAGATATATAGGAAATGGAACTAACTATACTTTCGGTTTGTAATCGTGTATATTTGTAACCCGTAAATAACCCAAAACCTTACTTTATTCGAGAAAACAACTAAACGCGATTTAGATTCGAAAAAAATGTACCAAATCTAAGAATTCGTTGTCATAGATGTATACCTACATAGTTTATTTTTATAACATCATAGAGTATAAGTTATATAATACACTAAAGCTGTGTTATTTAAAACAATAGTACTCTAGCGATAGAAATATTGTTTTATTTACTTTTTTTATTAACGTGAACTGAGAAATATGACATGAATATTAGATTCATTATACATAATATAATTTGTTTAAGATTCAAATTCAACTTGAGAATTAAATTCCAAAAGTCAGCTTGATGTAATCTTCACTAAATCCATCGCACCAATGAAGTCGTGTTGAGAAATCCACCTTTGTCAGGCTATACAAATACATATATATATACATAGAATTCAAGTGACAATGTTTTATAGAAAATTTATGTACCGTCAATGTTCTCGTTATTTCTCAAATATTGAACACAATAGTAATATTTCGTTTATTTTTACGTGTATTAGGTTTATGATAAAGGCACATAACAATAGAATTATAATCTCATAACCATTCGATTAAAATAAAAATGTTTTTGATATATATTGTGTTTAAGACCTATTTTATTTTTATTTAATACCTATATACTCTCTGAATTCTCAATGAGTTTATAAGGCATAGCAAAACGAATCTCTATATTAAAAAAAAAAGAAAATGTACGTCGTGAATAACTAAATAGTCCTAAGGCAACGTGTATAATACATCAGAAAACTGATAAAGATGAAAACATGAAAGATCAACGATATTTTGTTACGCTTGGAAATATAAAGTCTCATCAAGATGTCAGTAAATGCTTTTTAATAGACTAGCGCTTAGTGTAAGTAGCCCATTAACCGCGTGGATGATAAGCTCGCTTACGGACTCGCGCGGCATTTCGAAGGAAGTTAAGCCCGGATTGTATGTCTGTACTATATCAGTAGGTTGTGATTAGTTCTTCAGAGTATTTTAAACCGTATGTATATCATTATCTAAAGTCTCTAATCCTAAAACTAGTTTCCAAGTTAATACCATTATAGTTTAGTTTAAAATGAAGGAATTGTGTTTTCAATCATCTAGATATTTAAGATTATCCAGTGGAAGTAATATTCATTAAGTAATGCCCTAAAATGTTGAAGGAACTTTACATCCATTATGAAACTTTCGTGTTTGTTACCAAAAAGTAAGATGATTTGTTACAAGTATCAAGATTTGTTATAGAAAAGCAAAAAAATGGATAGACCCATCTTTATGTTGTTTTCTATGAAATATGATGCGTATTTGTTCGTGCTATACATACAGGCGTCAATGTGAGTCATAAGCGTGACAACACAACACTAACTCATACGTGTTGGACCATTATCTACTAAAGTGGGATGGATTTATTTAGTTATTTTGACATATCCACGACGCACTGAGGACCCAAACTGACAATTCGTTTATATAAGAATAACGCGTGCAATATGACATGATTTTTTTTATAACATAAATAATGAGATTCCTGATAACTTTTATTATTGTGTAATTTCTTGAAAAGTTGATTGCTACAGAGAAAAAATACTTACGTCAACTAAAAACTACTTTCTCTTATTTTGCTGCCTCTTTTCTCGTAAAGCTGCATGTACTAGCAGATAGTGTATTTAGTACACTAATGTGTACCAAATTAATATTAGAAGTACAAAAAATTTTATGATTTTCGTATATTTTGAGATGAAAAATAAAATGTATATTTCGCCAAACAAAAAAAGAACTAAATATTTTTTTATCTGATACTATCAACTTTTCTAGATATTATACAAGAATGAAAGTTGTCAGAAATGTCTCTCTTTATCATTTAAAAGAATTCAACTCGGTATTCCAATTATTATTCATAATGTCCACGAATTAGTTTGGGCTTACTGTGTAATACAGACTTTGTATACGTAAGTTGTCAAAACGGCTCAGCTCTGCAGTGTACGCGATTAAAAAAATAAGGAAACTTTCAGACGTCGAAACCGCTAGATTGGTTTACTTCAGCTACTTTCACAGTCTAATGACATACGGCATTTTGCTTTGGGGTAATGCCGCCGATATCAATAGAATCTTTGTCCTGCAGAAACGTGCAGTTAGGGCAATTTACAATCTGGGCCCCAAAGTATCTTTGAGAGATAAGTTTAAGGAAATTAACAT